GTGCTCTCTTGGGCTTCACCTATGAGCTGAGATAAACCTTTAGAGTTCTTGACGTTCCAGTCTGTAGGAGTTTTTGAAAACAAGATTTAGTCAAGAACTGAGAGTCATATTTAAATCCTATCATGGGACTTAATTTCAATCCCTGATAACACCTCTGTAGAGGGAAACATTTCACCTAATGGGGTGACTTAATTGGGAATTTGTTTGGTGTATAAATATTACAGTGCATGTTCTCTTTGTGCAGGAAGCAGCAGGTTCTGTCCTGCTCTGCTCGGGGTGAGTACAGCCTTTTGCTGAGAAAGCTTGTAAATAAGTGCTGCTTTAGAGCTGACGGGAAAATGCATCCAAGATAAATTTGGCAACGTGTTCCAAAAGTGCATCAACGAGGCCGTGCTGAGTATAGTCAGAAGCTCATTTTTTCTGCGTGATAGAGCCCATATGCAAGTATGTGAGAAAACCAAAACACATCAGGGCCCTAAAACGGAACGGGTTGCATTAGGTCTGTTTATTCAAGCATTTGCGTATGGGCTGTGAGAGCATCAGCTGGGACCAAGTCTCCTTCCTGGTTTCCTGTTTACTTGGCCACTACAATTGCAGTATCCGAATGCTTCACAGGTTGCAGAGAAAAGGACGAGTGGTATCTCTGTCTCTGTGCAGCCCACTGACAGAAGCAACCCGTTTGGCTGGCTGACTCGTTCCCTTTGGGGTGCACTCTCGGCATCTAACCTGGGTGGCTTGGTGAGGGCACCTGCTGTCACTGAGGGGAAAGCCTTTGGTGGCTCTTTTCCCTGCTCAGGTGCCTCTCTAGACACTATCCAGACACTCCAGGTCTGGTCAGTGGTTATGCTCGTGCCTCTGTAGTTGAAGGTTGGATGATGTTGCTCGTCACAGGTAGTGTTGGTTCCGCCTGTGGGGAGCAGTGTGGGGCTGTGGGTGTTCCTTCCTGGAACAGCCTCCCCTTTTGTGTTTGGGAGCTACCTGGTGAGGGGAAGCGGTTTGTGTGTGGATTCAGGAGCAGTCCGTGTGGGATTTGGCACCTGCCGAACAGCTCAGCCCGTGATGCCCAGTGCGCTCTTTGCTTGGGCTTGTCTTTTCTCCCCCAGCATCCCCATCCCCGAGCTCCCACTCCGCTTCGTGCACAGCAGTTTTCCGAGGAAAAAAATCCGGACGGGTCAGTGTTGTCAAGCGGTCGAGGGTGGTTGATCCTATTTGCGTTTCCCAGGAGTGTGAACAGCTTCCCCGCGGCTGCCGGGCAGAGCTGTCTGTGGTGCAGGAGCTGCCGGCGCTGCTGCTCCGTGACCCGGCGTTCTCTCTCTTCCCCTCAGCCCTTGCCCCACTCCACGCCCCGGCTCGTTGGGTTGCTCTTTAATGTGACTTTCACACGGCTCTGCATTACGCTGCTTTAATTACGGAACTGGCTCCGTTTCTTTTTCCTCGTGCAGTCCGGAGTTTGCTGCAGTTTCTTCCTGATTGCAAAAGCCGTTGGAAATGGGCAGGATCGTAAAAGCTTATCAGCGAGCAGTAACTCTCCCCTCGTGCTCCCCAGCTCTGTTAGGCGTTTATTCACTCCAGCGAGTTGTTACTCGGCGCAACAACTTGTGTTGCCACATCAGCCCTTCTTTATTTACGCCAAACCACATTTACCACTTTCCCTCTCTCCTGCCCTCAGTCCCCGAGGTTCCACGGCTCCGGAGCTGTGCAGCCGGGCGGTGGCAGCACTCCATCTCCCGGGGGAGCTGGAGCTGGCCTCGAGTAGCACTGGGAACAGAAACTCCGAGGTTACTTGCTGCTTGGAAAATGCCTTGCAAGTGTTTGGTGCTGCAGCGCGGAGACCTGCGGAAAGATTTGCTGATGTGATGAGCAAAACAGATGCTGGCAGATGAGTGCAGCCATTAGGAAGTCCAGGATCCCTGTTAGTATTATTAAGCTGGTCTTGTTCTTTCTGAGTAGTCTGACAGAACATTTTTGTGAGCTGTATCTGCTGGCGCTCTGCAGATTCGAGTTGCTGCAGTGCCGGGTAGGCCGTGTGTGACTCTCGTTCCAACCCTATTGACACATAACATCATGTCTAAAAATATTTGGCACCGATCTAATCATTGGCCCGGAGAGGCCAATTACTCAAGCAGCTTGTGTTTTTTCACTGGAGTGTATTCTGTCAGATCTAGACCCTGAAAATAGAAACCCAGTGTTTTTTTGATTATTTCTTTTTTTTAAGGTTGGTTTGCAAAATGTTGCAGTAGCAGTCACGAGGATGTGAATCTAGATGAGAAGTGCCTGGATGTCCCTTTGCTTACAACCAGGAGCTGGTAAAACAGGCTTAACTGAAGGCACACCTCCTTTCAGAGGCCCTAAAATTATTTTCACCCTTTTTTCTCTCTCTATCTCCTTCCATGGGATGGTCACAATACCTGGCCTTGCTGAGGTGCTTCACTGACAGGACTCTGCCAGTTTCCCCCTGAAGACCCAACTCAAGATTTTCTTGTGGTTTCACATGAATTTTTTTTTTTTTTTTTTTTTAAGTTTCTGCAACTCCCATTTCATCATACTGGAAAAATTCCAGGGGGGGCTGAAACAGTTTCCCCGTGCAAATTGGTAAAGGATGTTTTCTTGCTAGATTTTGGCCCGCCAGAAATGCTGTGTTAATCTGAGAAGGGCAGAAAAGACCAAGTCAAGGAGGGTGACGCTTGGAGTCTAATCACCAAACTCCTGCGGATTAGAGCTGGGGCGCCGAGCCAAGGCAACCCAAGCTCTATTCCTGGCCCTTTAAAACCCCCCAGCTCCTTTGGATCCGTGTTTCAGGGAAAGCACCAGCCTCGCAGTGCGTCCTAAGCAGTTTTCCAACCCTCTGGGATTAGAAAGCGTGGCTGTTAAATGTGACAAACCCATTCCAGGTGCCATTCCTGGGAGCGAGGGGGCCATTCCCACTGCTGTGGGTGCTCAGTGCCCGGCAGGGTGACACCAGGAGGATGCTCTGCTGTTGTGGGCGGGTTGAGCAGACATTTCACTGAGGGGATGGCACCTGTGAACTCTCAGCACCGTATCCCTCACAGGCAGTGGAAATTGCTCCCTTCCTTTTCCTTTCCCCCCTCTACCGGACTGTAGCTTCTCAGTTGCCCCATGCCTGGGCTGATGCTGCCTATGACAGAGGAGCTGCTCTGGGGACACGGTGTTTGGGAGGGCTGTGGGATACACAGGTGCCTAACACACCTGCATATGTGTCCATTCTCAGGGAGCAAGGGTGAATCCTGGGGTAAGAACAGACTTTACATGGGAATAAAGCGCCTGCGGTTTGTGTTGGGTCTGGAAATCCAGTCCCATCTGTTCCAGATGTTTCCAGTTGTGTTTGTAGCAAGCTGCTACTGTGCTGCTTTGTGGGGAAAAAACGATAACATTAAAAAAAAAAAATATTGGGTTGTGCCTTCACAACCGTTGCAAACAGGCAAGGGCATCCATGGAATATGTTCCCTTTTGTTGCCTCAGAAAAGATGCATAAATAGTCTTGAATAATTGAGTGTGGAGCTGGAGCTTTCAGGGGAGGCTGATGTGTGCCTGAGTGCTGGCTTGGCGTGCTGTGCTGGCAGGGAGCACATCCCACCCCTCCATGCCCAGCAGCAGCTGCTTGGGGAATGGCACCTTTCCTAGCCCAGGGAAATGTCTGCTGGAAATCCTCTGACTTCTGGGATTCGGGCAGGAACAGCCTGTGCAAAGGGGAGCTGGGTCTGGACTGGACCTAAACCTGGGGTCTGGTGCTCACATGTTTTTGGGTACGGTGCTTTATTATTCATTGCCATCCAATAATCCAAACGAAAAATGTGTATTTCCATAGGCTTTTCTTGGAGGATGTTGCATGGAAGCAATATGCATGGGAAGAAGTTTTGAAGGCCTTATCTTTTTCTGGATTGAGTTTGTCTCTATTCCACCAAAGAGATATAAGGAAAAGGTGTTTTATGCCTGTTTTTTGTTAGGAAAACAGGTTACCATTCCAGTCCCAGTTGTACTCACATACAAAGCTCCCCCAGCAACTGCCCAGCAGTGAGCAGCAAATGTGTGCTTAGCCTCTAAGGAGATTATTTAACACAGCTCCAATTTTTTCTTTTTTTTATTATTATTTTATTATTTTTGTATTTGCTTGTCAAGACTGGATTTGCAGATGTACCCTTGGGAAGTAGGCAGGGTCTGATTTTGTGGGGGAAACAGCAGCAGAAGCACTGGGCAGCGCTGCAGGAGCACAGCGATGTCCGAGGCGTGGAATTAGGAGTCTCTGTCGTCCACAGAAGCAGATCAGAGGTGGAGGGAAAAGGGGAGGGGAAGGAAGGGCAACTACTAAAACCCTTCCCCAAATGGATGAATGAATGGGCGACACACATAAATGGCTGCTGTGATGGTCTGACTTACTGTAGCTCGGTCTCGGGATAATCCTCATATGTCAGATTTCTGTAAGGCCAGCATGTGACACAAAGCTGGGCTCCCAGCAGACAAGTGTGCTGTGCTGGTATTAAGGGGCTGGCCGGAGCCGGGCTGTGCAGTGGAACGCGTGTCCGTGTGCAGGGTGCCTGCTCGCCTCCGGACGCAGCCCCGCTGCTGCTGGCAGGAGAGCTTGACAGGGAAGCTGGAACTCCACAAACTCTTGGCTATTGCATAGACAGCCCCCAACCTGCCTGCGTCTCTGTACTTTGTAGAAAAAAGGGGGAGGAAAAAAAAAAACCCAACCCGAGAAACAGGAAAACCCCCAAAGACTTGTAGCCGGGATTACCTTGCTCACACCTGTCACCGCTGATGTCCTCTCAAGGTCAGAATTCGAGCTACGTGAGGCCAGCTTAGAGCAAACGCCATGTGAAAGGAGCTCTATGAAGGAACAGCAGGCACTGGAAGGAGGACAGGAGTGCCCACAGGAACATGAACAACAGCTTGCAAGTTAACCTGCCCAGGACCTGGGCTGGTTCGAACAGCTCCCTCCAGGAGAAGTCTGAGCATTCCTTTTTTCTTTTCTATTACTATAGGATGGAGGACGAGGCAGTACTGGATAGAGGGGCTTCCTTCCTTAAACATGTATGTGATGAAGAAGAAGTGGAAGGTAAGAGACTCGGACTGCTGGGGAGGAAGGGTGCCTTTGCTTTGGTGTTTGTGTGTAGGATGGGCAGAGAATCCTAAAACCGAGTGAAACACGAGTAAACTTGGTCAGGGCAGAAGTGGTTTTTTAAAGAAATCCTCCCTTTCAGTTCAGGGGTGAACGCTGTGACACGTGCCAGTACACGCTGCCACTGCCCCCAAAGCCCTGTTCGCCGTGCCCTGTGCTGGGGCTGTGGAACACCTGAGCTGTTTGCTTTGCTTCCCTCTGGGAACAGAGTTTGGGCAACACTTGCCTGTCACTGCTGCCCTGGGGAGTGCAGGAATACAGAGGCAGGTGGAGAAGCTAAGTGGAAAAAGCAGCAGAATTTGTACTGAGTGTTGGGGTGGATGTTTGCTTGGGTTATCCTCTGAGCCCGGGAGGCGTAAAGAAAAGGGTTTTCCCTTGAGGAAGAACTTTTTAACAGAGCAAACAGTTTCCTTGCATTTTTAGGGAAAAAGTAGACTCCTTTGGAAGTGTTTTTGTTTTCTCTCTAAAAATGTTGTGAAATCTCAAAGGTGAAAGGAATGCAAAGGAGTTTACTTTGAGGTTGTTCCTGGAAAATTCTGAAGCTGATAGGAGTGAATTATTTGCAGCAAATTCTCTTTTTCTTGTTTTCTGAGAATCAGTTGATCGTGAGCACGATAAACTAGCGGGGGAGAAGGAAGGGAGCATGATAGGGTAGGACTCTACTAGAAAGGAAAGGATGTGACCTTGCAGCACTTATCCTTCTCCTCCTGACTTGAAGATATAATTTTATTCTAATTTCTTTATTTGCAAACAAATGCCTGTGGCTTTTAGGTTGAAAATGCTTTGAAAGGTGTAATGTTACAGGCATGTCATTGTCACCGGTAATGGGCAGGAAAGGATCCAGCAGTAGGAGAGAAAATAATCTCCAAGAAGAGGAGTTAGAACACTTCCAGCAAACCAAGCCAGTCTTTTCCACGAAAAACCTGTTTTCTTGCTCTCTGGGATGAAGTAATCTGTGCTGAGTCGCTCTAAATCATCACGTTGTGTTTAATGAGGCCATTTGCTGTCTGCGGGGTCGGGTTTGTATTAGCCTTTTGCTGCTGGAATAATTGGCACTTTGGCACGGCAGAACCACTTGAGAGGGGAGAGAGGAAGAACGTTTCTCATGTTTTATTGTCTTAAATGTTGCCACATGCTGTTGTGGTGTGTATTGCCCACGTGTGACACTGCAGGAATATAATGCAAGCGCTTGCTGGTGACGAGGAGTGTGGGAAGATCCTTTTGACTGTCTGCAGGGGCTGTGAAAAACTTGTGGTTAATGCAGCGGTGGTGTGTTTATATCCCGCGTTCCAATGTGCATATCCTCCTTTGGTTTAGCTGGGCTAAGAGACCACTTGCATCTCACTGGGGGAAGGAGGAGAGGAGGTAAAACAAGTATTTCTGATTGCACACGACAGGCCTCTGGAGCTGGAGCTGCTTGGCTGAGCCTCCGGAGAGCCTGGGAGCTGTGTAGCCAGCTAATTCCCTGGAATGAACTGTACACTCAGAGCGCCCTGGCTCGGAAGGGACCTTAAAGATCGTCTGATTCCCAACACCTGCCATGGGCAGGGACACCTTCCACTAGCCCAGGTTGCTCCAAGC